CGTCGGTCACACGCGGTGTCCTAAAGTCGGAGTCGAGTCGTGGGCCACACGGAGGACGCGGGTCTGCTCGTCCTCCCCAGACGGCGGCTGTGCCGCATAGGTGCCCCAGGTAACGCCTGACCCTTCCGGGAGTTCACTGTACTGTTCTCTAATCCTCTGCTGCCGTGGAAGCTTCTCGAACGCAGGTGACGACAGGTAAAGAAACACCTGGCGGAGGCCGAGTCCGGGCCGCCGGCAGCACCGGTTTTTGCATGAACACCCGTCGCGGTAGCGGTCGCTTCTGCTCCAAGGCCGGATGAGGCCTTGGGATTAAATACTCACACTGACGGCCGCTAAGTAACCGAGGCAGATCATGTTTTACTTTGGAAGGCCGTTTCAAAAACAAGGCAAGCACCTCTAACTTTGATTACAAGGAAAAGGATTGGCCGTGACCCTATCGTGACCCTATCGTACGTTTCTTTCCCGTTGAACAGGAAGAGGAATTGTTCTGATGATTTCTTTCCTCTGCCCCTCAAGATACCCATTCTAGAAATAAGACTGAAGATCTTCCCAGTCCTCGGCGTGGTAGGCGGAGCAATATTTTCCTGTTCAAATTATTTCCATGTCATCTTCCACGGTGGTGTGGGCAAGAACGGGTCCACTATCGCGGTAAGCGCTCCTGTCGTCGCTAGTAAGTATTTGCTTATGGTAAATTTTCTTATCACAGCTCTGAGGAGAAATCAAAATATGCCAAAGCTTAGGCATGGGGATGGACACTAAACATCTTCGTCGGGGTTGTGGTTTCTCTTTGTTTTGTTTTTTTTTAAGACAGCCTCTCCCTGTGTTGCCCAGGCTGGCCTTGAACTCTGAGATCCTCCTGCCTCAGCCTCCTAAGTGCTGGAATTATAGGCATATGCCATCGCGTCTGGCTCTAAGTATCCTAAAGAACTCATTTTAGGTGCACAGCAAAAAAGCATTTTATTTTAAAAAATTGTTTATATTTCCACAGGCTAGTGGTCTGATTTCATTTAATCACTCACTAGTTCCTTCTTGTACATAGTCGGGAGTTGCCCTGGGTTATCTTGCGTCTTGTGCTTGGAGCTAATCGGGGAGAGGAGGAAGAGTAGGGAAGAGGGTCCCGGCTGAATGACAGGACCCCTGCCGAAGTTCTGAGCTTTCACATATGGGCAGTTTATTACTCAGAAAGTAAATTTTATTGAAATTTTCCCAAAATATGCTTAAAAGAACTATTATAATATCTTAAAAGATAAAATGTGAGTTGAGCGTGGTGGTGCACGCCTGTAATCACAGTACTTAGGAAAGAGGCTGAGGCAGGAGGATCGCTGCACATTTGAGGGCAGCCTGGACTGCTTAGTGAGTTCAAGGCCAGCCTGGACTATACAGTGAGACCCTGTACATACATCCATACATGTTGTTTTCATCCGCGAGCCCGTTCACGGAACAGGGTTCAGGGGGCCCAGTCTGGGAGGGCAAGGCTGTGGAATCACCACGCAGTCTCCGGGGAGGTTTCTGGAAGCTTCCGTTTTATTCAGCAAATGCACAGGCTTATATAGGATGGGGGAGGAGCCAGGGTGGCGCTACTGGATCGCTATTGGATAGGGTAAGGCAGGGGTGGAGCCAGGGTGGAGTCGGGATATTTGACACATCGTTATGGGTCACAGGTTAGTTTTTGGATTGTAGGCTTTAGGGGCTGCAGTGAACGGAGTCAGGACTTTAGAGGATTTTGAGAGGAACCGTGTACCTGTCTAAGGTCAGATCTCTACACCCGAGGGAGTGGATTATTTCAGCCCTAATAGGCCTCAGAGTTTTCTCAGGAGAGATGGGTGCTGCGCTCCTGACTCAGCCAGACATTAACCTGATCCTCACATACACAGGGAAGGATGGAAAGAAAGAGTTGGCGATTCAGTAAGCCTAAAAGCCAAATTTGTTTTATTTTGTTTCGGGTAAGTTTTGCTGAGAGAATCCTGATTCACACAGATAAAAAAACTCTGTGGTCTGGATTATACAGTTTTCATAAGGAGGCGTCTGCGGTAGGAAGGCAGGACACGGGCTGGGGACTCTGCTGATGTGGAGAGCCTGGCCAGATCCTGCGCTTCCTCATCAGCGGTTAAAGTCTTCTGTAGAAGTGGCGAGGCAAGCTGTGCTTCAGATCTTCACGTAGGGCGGGGGATTTAGCTCAGTGGTTCTGCTGCCTACCCTGCAAGCGCATGGACCCGAGTTCAATTCCCAGTACCAGAAAACAAAAATCAGCAAACATCTCCACAGAAAATGTTATCCTGATAGCCCAAACATTAGTGAACGGCCGTTGTTGACAGAGTGAAAGCTGATACAGAATAAATTCTAGCGTTAATTTTTATTTAAAAATTTTTTTGTTGTTGTTGTTTCTTGAGACAGGGTCTCACTATGTAGTTCAGACTGACCTGGAACTCACTATGCAGACCAGGCCGGTCTCGAACTCATGGTGATCCTCCTGCCTCAGCCTCCCAAGTGAGGAGAGTACAGGCATGCGCCACCACACCTGGTTATAGCGTTAATTTTTAGCTGATTAGTTTGAAGTATGTGCGTCCATAACATAGGACTGAGGTGCCTGCTGCATCCCATTGGTGCCACCAAGGGTTCCGTGGCATTTGAGGGGATGCGTGAAGGTCCCGCCCCCTTGGTCGCACGCTCTGTCCTGCCCTCCTGTAGGGCTGCGTCTGTTTGATGAAGCAGATGCTCGGCCAACGTGCACTTGTCCTAAGTGTGGGGCGAAGATGTGATTTTCCACTTTATCCTTAGGGCACGAGCGTGTTGTCGCCTGGACTTCCCATCGGACTCACCCTGGTCCTGGCAGTAATGATCTACAAAAAGTCAGCCACGAACGTGTTCGAAAAGCACCCTTGTCTTTATACCCTGATGTTCGGGTGTGTCTTTGCTAAAGTTGCGCAAAAACTAGTGGTAAGAAACTCTTGCATGACTCGGGGTGTGGATCTTATCCTTGGTCCTCAGGCTGGGGCTGGAAATTGTTCCGTAGTGTGTGGGTTTTCCTTTGTGGTTATCGCATCGCAGTAACCGTCTGTGCTCTAAATAGAACTGTGATGCGGGTCAATGTTGCATCCGGTTCTTTACTTCTTAGGCTCTATGAGCTATAAATTCCTGATATCAAGGAATATAAGCACTGCAGTTTCTAATAAGCTGCCCAGGCATGAATTTGGGGAAGATAGAAATATTCCCAGATAGGATGTGAGATTACATTTGTGTTTATCTTAATAGTAAATAGGCATGATTCTCTTCTGAAAATAAGATGCTGCTTTGCTTACTTTTTTACAGATTGCTCACATGACCAAAAGTGAACTGTATCTTCAGGACACTATCTTTATCGGGCCAGGTCTTCTGTTTCTAGACCAGTACTTCAACAATTTTGTAGATGAATATGTTGTTCTGTGGGTAGCAATGGTAAGCACTGTTCTGATTTTTATTTTTAACAGATAAAGCAGATAGTAGCGGTTTCAGTTGGGTATCGCTTGTCTCCATAGGCAGTCTATACAGCAAATGTTTCTGAACATTTAAAATCACTTCTCTTAAGCTGGGAGTCGTTTTATCGTGTAGAAATAGTCAGCGTATCTGTGACCAGGTTTCCAACAGCTGGATCCTCGGGAGCACAGCTCTGTACTTTAAAAGTCCTCTTTTCCCCCCTCAAACCAAGCCACTTCGCCCAGTGGACTCTGACTGTTCTTATCTGGCCTATTAAAGTGATTCCCAGATTACAGCAAGTTACATATTCACAAGTGGGGTTGCTGCTCGCAGTGGTGAGCACTTAGTACATCGAGAGCTGCCCACTGATGCGGAGAACAGAGCCGGACCCTGAGACTTTTTTTTTTGGTACCAGGGCTTGAAGTCAGGTCCTTGAGCCTGCGAGAGACTTTGAAACTACGTGTAAGCAGCCCCGTGTCTGTGTATGGCCCTCGACAAGAGGGCATCGTGTCTTACTACGGTCACAAAGGCTAAATTCTGATGGACTGTACCCTGCTTAAGCAGGGATGTGGATAATATTGATTTCTATCCAGAACGATTGTGAAATACAGAATGTTGCCTAAGAGAAACACGGTCAGCTAAGGACGTCATTACTGATTAACGCTTCCCTCACACAATCAGATAACGGAGAATTTAAGTTTTTGTGCTAGTAAGACATGTCTTTCTGGTTGGGTTGGCCTTCGGCTGATGGCGGTTTTGAATAGTTTTGCCACGTTTTTTCCTATGTGTGGATCTCGCTGGCCTTCTCCAAGTTGAGAGCCACACGCAAGTACATAGCGATCTTGTCAGTGCCGCCCGCATGAGCCTTGGTGATTCACGCAGTCTCCCACCACGTTGGACTTCAGAGCTTAACAGCGGTGCACAGAGGGCACTGGATAACCGTACACCGCCCCGTGTCACTCCGCAGTCAGTAACTGCATACTCGTGGTGAAGTGTGGTCCTCCGGGCGTGGAATCTGGTGTTTGAGCCCTGCCTTTACCTTGGCAGGTGCGCTGCAGGGGCTGATGTAACGCAGGCCTCTCCCGAAGGAGACCCTTCCCCAGCGGGCACGGCAAGGGCCCCCTTTCTAAGGGCGCGACACGTCTAGGTGCCTCCCCTCCTCCGCCGGCCTCGTCCATCCTGCCGCGTCCTCCTCCCGGGGAGCCGGAAGTCAGCGGGCCGCGGGACGTCCTCCCCCAGCGATGTCAGGCTCTGCACCTCAGCCGGGTGGGTGGCAGCGAAAAGCCGCGAGCCCGCTGCCCCCTAACGCGCCTCCCGCTTTGCTCCTGAAGGTGGCCGCCTCGCTTGACTTGACGCTGTACTTCAGCGCTTTGTGCCTGCAAATCTCCAGACACCTGCAGCTGAGCATCTTCCGGATCTCCTGTCCCCAAGCACCCGAACAGGTTCACGAGCACGCTGGCCGATAGGCCGAGCAGGAGAGGCAGTCGGGGGGCC